AGTCTAAATATTTGCTAAAAATAGTGAATTAAAGATATCGTCACAAAATGAACAAATCTCATTAGGTCTACACAAGGCATCTACATACTAAGTAATTGTACAGGCAGTTATCAAGAAGATGATGAAAATGAAATTGTTGAGAGACACACAGAAGACAATCATCCAGGTGAACGATGGCATGAACTGCCATCTCTGGTGACTGCGGAGCTTAATCAAAGATTCTTAGAAAGAACTCCCATGTGCTGAGAGTATTGAAGACACATTAAAAATTAATTAAAAATAAACTGAAAACTAATTATGTAAATCAGGTAACTAATATGAACAGAACAGAACAAAAACATTATGAATTATTATGCTAATTAGAGAATTAATATGAACAAATTTTAACCCAAAATTAATCAGGCCTGTCTATTGTCCTAGAGCATTTATGTACTAATTTTATTCAAATGTGATGATTAGTAATTGAGATATTAGTGTTAATTAATTAAGTTAATTAGGTGATTAATAAGCATAAATATTTACCAAAAACTAATTGGGTCTCTGCATAGTTTTAGATTCATTAAAATGTGATGAGTACTCTTTAAAAGTTTCATTAAAATCCAATTCGTGGTTCTTTATATATCAGTGGAACATTCATAGAAACAATTAATTAATTATGCAAATTAGGTAATTAATATTCACAATTATTTACCCTAAAACTAATCAGGTCTCTGCACAGTCCTAGAAGATCTATGTAGCAAGTCTCATTGAAATGTAATGATTAGTACTTGAGATATCAGGCAAAAAGCTGAAAATTAACTAATTATGCTAATAAGGTAATTAATATGCACAAATATTTACCTAAAAACTAATCAGGGGTCTGCACAGTCCTTAAGTAACTATGTACCAAGTTTCATTGAAATGTGATGATTACTACCTGAAATATCAAAAGCTGAAAATTAATTAATTATGCAAATTAGGTAATTAATATGTACTGATATTACCCTAAAAACTATCAGGTCTGTGCAGTGTCCTATGACATCTATGTACCAAGTTTTATTGAAATGTGATGATAAGTACTTGAGATATCAGTGGAAAAGCCAAAAATTGATTGATCATTATGCAAAGACTCCCTTTTTGTGCTTCACACACTGGAGTCAAAAACAGAACATTTAGTACATAC